AAAAGAGAGAAGGTAGGAATATAGCATGATTAAATATATAAAAGATTAAATAGAAAATAGAACAAGAACAAAACATCAAATTAGTAAATGAATTACCTGTGGTATGGGGAAGAGAGTAGTCCCCACCTATTTTTTCTTTCCCATGTTTTTACTGCAATTCCTCTTCCTTAATACATGGTTTCCTAAAAATAAAACACTACCCCAACGTCTCTCCTCTTTCAAGGCTCTTTTTTTTTTTTGTTTTCCGTCCGGTATTCGAGGCTTCGTCTCGATTAATCCGCACCTGACCCGCGTCGCGCACCTAGAAATAATAGGTGAATCTTCCAGCGAGGGCTGCTGCGTACACAAGGTCTCGAACTCGAACTCGAGACCTTATTTAAGCTGAAACAAGTCGCTTACCACTTGATCCAACCCCTCGTTGATCCTCTTTCAAGGCTCTAGATCTGAAGTAATTTCACGAAACCAAGGTCTAGGTACAAGAGAGAAAGAGAGAATAGGAATGAGTTTTTCTTTGAGAAGTTTTTTTTAATAATATATCTCTGTTTTCTCTGAAGCACTTGCTGCTTCTCCTCTTCTCTCCCTCTCTGAACCCTTTTCAGCCTTTTTTATTTTCCCTCCTCCCCCCTTTTCTTCAAGTGGGAAGTGAACCTATTTATAAGCAAAAGTTTGAGTACTGCCCGCTTTTCTGCTTTTTTATTGTAATTTTCCCTTTTTTTGAGGATTTTCAGGTAATTTTACCTTTAAGGGGTTGTACCTACATTTCCATATTCATGTGGAGGCAAGTGGCCTGTGTTTTATGTGGGTTAATAACAACTTCAAGTACTTGTAGGTTCATCTTAGAATGAAAAATTGTACCCATTTCTTTTTGGGTCATCCTCAACCCACCTAATGGAGAAAAGCCCATAATTTTCTCTTTGGTTCCCCGACTTTTCTATCTCTTCCTTGTTTGCAGGAGCCACTTGTTGGTGCTGTTGAATCATGGGCCACATTTGGGTTTTGAGAGGCAAAGATGATGCTTGAACGCTCCTTTCTATTACCTTATTATTGTATGAGAAACTTTGTACCTTTTTTTTTTTTTCAATTATCCCCATTTTATTCCAATTGGGTGCCCTTGACAAGTATCACATATGGAAGACATTTTCTCACTTTTTTTTAAAAAAAAAACACAATGATAGGTAAAGAGAATACGAAAAGAAAAATGGAATGAAATGAACATTGCATTGAATTTGTCCCGACAATATGAGGTGTCTGTATTTTATTTTGTAAAGAATTGAGCAAATTTTGATAGAATCTTTTTCAATTTTTAAAGGAAATGGGTTTCACTTTGTTATTTTTGATAAAAGAGACAGGAATCATTATTTTAAAATTTAAAATTATAATACAATGAGATTAATTGTGACTTAAATTAAAAAATATAATAAGATAAAATTTGAATTTTAAATAATAAATGACTTAATCTAAATGGATTTTTAGTTTATAAGATTCAAATTAGATTTAAGTAGGATTTTTTTTAATTTTATTTATCTTATGAATAAAGTAATAATTTTATTTTGAATTCATTTAATTTTCAATCTTTAGCTAACAACAAAATGTAAATGGATAATCACCATTCTAATTTTTTTAAAAAAAAATGAAATCTTTAAATAAAATCACAATTTAAAATTAAATTTCAAGAAGAAAAGATTAAAGCTAATAAATAAAAGAGAAGTTTGTTTAACTTGTGCTCTTAAAGTGTAATAAATATATTTTCTTACAATTAATTTAAATAAAAAATTCAAAAGTTAGACTTTTTTTTTTAAATCATTATTTTGATCAGCCAATTGATTAAAACTAAGTCAATATTTATATTTTTCATGCAAATTACACTTTCTATTCATTTTTGATAGCCTTAATTTGATTTTTTAGTTTTTCAAATATAAATTTCAAATGAAAATTTAATAACTTATATAAACAATAATCAAAAAGTTTTTCTTTCTAAATGAAAATCTTGTTGAATATTTTAATTTGATAAAAAAAATTAATTATTATTTATATAATATGTTAAATTTTTGTTTAAAATTGATATTTAAAAAAATCAAAAAATTAAATTAAGACTACTAAAAATAAACAGAGGAAATTATTATAAAAAATATAATAAATGCTCCTTTGACATTTATCTTAAAAATACAAGATAAAAAAACTTATAAAAGAGTTATTCCACCACTAATAAATTTTTAATTTTTTAATCTTTTAATAATAACAAAATTTAATAAATCATTTTATTTGATGGGAGATAAATTAATGTTGTTGCTTTTTGCTGATAAAAAAAAAAAAGTTGTTACGTTCTTTTCTTCTTCTTTTTTTCTGATAAAAAAATAAAAGTTGTTACGTTCTTTTCTTGAACAAGTAAAGGTACAAATAAGAATTCCAACTTTACACTTTTTTTTATTTAAGGATGTTAACTTTGTCAATTTCTAAATAAGGATGTCAACTTTCAATTTTTTTTTAAATAAGGATGTTAATTTTGTCAGTTTCTAAATAAAAATGTCAACTTTCAACATTTTCTATTTAAAGATGTCAACTTTCAACTTTTTTTATTTAAGGATTAATTGAATAGTGATACTGACGTGACTAACATATTTTTTTAGGTTAAATATTTGAATTGGTCTCTC